GTACAGGTGCAGATTTCTCAGAAGTACAATGAAGTGTTCTGGAATACTCATACTTCTCAATGTTTTCCATAGTTTGTCATGATCCACACAATCAAAAGCCTTCATGTAGTCAATAAAGCATAGGTAAACATCCTCTGGTATTCTCTGCTTTCAGCCAAGATCCATCGGACATCCGCAATGATATCTCTCGTTCCTCTGCCTCTTCTGAATCCAGCTTGAACCTCTGGAAGTTCTCTGTCAATGTATGATTGTAGCCGTTTCTGTATTACCTTTAGCAAATAGTGAATGATAATCATATTAAGTAAGGTGATTATATTAAGTAAATAGAATTTATATTTTGAATGTAAAGATGGCATGAAACAAAGGCCAAATAATGCAGCTGTGTTGTAAGGTTGGGAAAGAAAGTCTGCTGTGGGGTCTTGTGAAATAATTTCCTCATTGATGAATGATACAATAAAGCATTAAGCAGTAGTTATAAATAGAGTTAACTTTTCATGATATCTTTAAAATATGTTCTTATTTTTAGATAAATATTTTCTATCATGATATTGCTTTTTATTTAATGGTTTGATCTCCAGTCTAATTTTGTGTACCATTACTGCTGTTACTCTTGTTTATTATTTATTATTGTAACTCATTTTTTCACAGTTAATTTGAGTCTACTACTAACATTTTCTTTTGTGCTTTTAATTATTTCTAATATACAAAATGAAGGTCACACTTGACTCATAATCTATCCAAATGAACTAATAAATAACAGTCCCAACATCCTGCCCAGGCTATAGTTAAGTGTTTGACCATTACTTCCTTTCCTCTACCAAAAGTATTCATATGAAATTTAAGGATGCCTGGTCTTTTCAGAAGAAGATTGCAGTAATGTTTCTACTTATCCCAGAAAAGCTACCTTAAAATGCCAGAATTTAATCAGATATTTACTATAGTTTGACTGCAATGTATCATTAGATTTCTATTACAGCTTAGTAATGCACTCTGCTCTCCCTATTCTTGGAAACATGCTATAAAATTAATTTAAAAATATATAAGCATAGTTAAGTTAATATATTCCAAAGATAAGAAAGTAGAGTTACGTTGAGAATGGCATTGATGATTTCAAAAACTGAGATTTTGGATTAAGCAGCAGTGACTATGGTCAGAGGTGGACACTTAGAATTTCCAGGGTCAGAGGGTCAGAATCTGGCTGTGTCCTTTAGAGCAATGATCATCAACAGGAATGTTGTTGGTTCCAGATTTTTTCATTTATTTTTTGTCTCCTTCCATAGGAAAATTGATGGTAACAAGTCTCACAGGACAATCAATTGCTACAGTGAGTGGACAGGCTGAACTCAGCTGCCAGTTGTCTCCACCACAGAGTGCAGAACACATGGAGGTGCTCTGGTTCCGGGGTGACCATTCCAAAACTGTTCACCTATATAGAGGGGGCTATGAAACGAAGGAAGACACTTCCCCAGAGTACATGGGCCGCACAGAGTTGCTGAAAGAGGCCTTTGGAGAGGGCAAAGTGACCCTCAGGATTCATAATATCAGCATTTATGATGATGGGCAATACCAGTGTTCATTTAAAGATAGTGGTTTCTATGGTGTGGCCAACATGAACCTGAGTGTGATAGGTAAGGATGATGGTGGTGCATTGTGTACCAATGTAACTAGGAT